TGTGTGTGTGTTTTTTTTAATTATAAATAAAATCATTTATTTTATTAAAAACATTAATAAATAAAATAATTTTAATTAACAGTCTTAAAGAAAAACTACCAAAAACTATTTATATATATGCTGTCAGATTTTGGAAATTCTATATTTTCTCACCATAAACAAAATTCTTGTAGCAATGCCATCTATTGGAGAAATAATGAAAAATAGTTAACAACAAACATATCAGAGATGTTAAAATAAAAGTTTCTAGAGCATTTTTGACAACGAACATATAACATGTCAAAGTCAAAAAAGTGATCACTGCATTTGAATGTATAGGATGCAACAGTGACTGAGAGGGATTAAAGAAAGCCTATCTGCATTAAAGACATTTGGTTTTGGATAGCTCAAATCATTTCCAATTCTGAGATTTTATATGCTATTAATATATCTGAATAATATGAATCAACTAGACCTAACGAGTACAACTAATAACAGATTTAACCTTACATTAATTAATTGAATTGAATTCATACATTATAATAGAATGCAGTCTCCTTTTAGAATCTTGAGTTAACAAGATAAATTATTTTTATAGTTCATTCCTGAAAAAAAGCAACTTAAATTCATATTCAGAGAGCATCCTTAACAAGTGTATTAAAAAAATAAAATTAAACATAAGTTAATATAACTTTATTTCTATAACTAGTTTATTATAAAAAATGAATTGCATTAAAAAAAATGTTACATATACATAACTGATACATATGTAACACTATTAAGAAATATTTATATTAAATTTAGTATATTTTTTATCTACTTTCATTTTAAAAAGTGAAAAACATCAAGATCATTCTGATTCTATTAGAAATAATATTCAAAGGCAATTACAATAAATAGTTCTACATTTAAGACTCAGATTAAACCATCCTCTAGCAAAATGTAATATACAAATTTTGATAATAACCATTAATCATAATTAGCAAAATGCCAAAAACACTGAGTACCTCTAATTAGTCTGATGTAAGTAAGCTTAATCATTGCTACTTTTCCATTGAAAGTTTACAAAATACTAACATTAAGATGATCACATGTCCTGTTTTACTCCTGTCATGCAAACAATTTGCCCTGAATTTTTCTTTGTTTTTAACCAGGCATTATTGTTAAATATATGAGAGTCAATTAAAATTAATTTTGTTTTATACAATTTGCACTGATCACAAGATGATATTAAAATTGCATTTAAAAAAAAAACTACAGTATAATTAAAATGATAAAAGCTCAAATGATGTATAACAAGCATGGCCAACAAGTTGATATTGACTGTTATATTGGAACATCATTTTTAGTCAATTGTGAATAATATAGTCCATTTCAAAATTATAAACATACCCAACATTTATCAATAACAAAAACATTAATTATAGTAATGTATTTATTATATTAGTATGTTATTTAAACATCAATTTAACCATTTTCTGAAATTTTTAGAACAATCTGACAATAACAAAAAAAAAAATTATCAGATTTTCAATTTTTGAGTGTTTCAAAAGTATAACCACAGGTGCATAAAATTAGTATAAAAATTTTTTTATTAATTATTGGTTTAATTAGTTGTCACCAGAGGGGAGTATCACTCATTATTAAAAACATGGTGCCAATTTTAAAAGGTTTTTGTCATTTTAAACAATGCCTCATGGAAAAACACTAACAAAGTTGGAAATATGTGAAATTTGCCAACTAAAATGATCAGGTCAATCTCTAAGACAAATTTTGGCAGCTATAAATCGATCTACAAGTGCTGTAAGAAATGTGTTAACTCAGGGTGAAAATTATGGCAGAAATAAGCAATGTGGAAGGCCTAAATTCCTCACACCTAGAAACAAAAGAAAGGTTTTTCAGCATTTCAACAAGTTGTCTGTCAGAGAAGCAGTATCAACATTGCCAATTGCAGTTTCACCAGCAATTGTACAGAAATGTATGCATAATTATAAAAATGCCAAATTTACAAAAATGGCTGCCAAACCAAATTACTGCAATTGCACATAACAGCTAGATTAAAGTGGGCCAAAGACAAGATGACATGGAAAGAGGAGTGGAAACAAATAGTCTTGTCAGATGAAAAAAAAAAGGAATTTGGATGGACCTGATGGTTATAGTCACTATTGGGATGATTTGAGGAAGAATGAAGTCAGAATGAGCAGACATCAAGGTGAGGGCTCTGTGGTGGTGGGAGCAGGATTGATCTGGGGGGGGTAAAACAGACAGTGTATCTATAGAAGATAGAATGAATTCAGAAAAGTATCAAGAATGGTTGTATCAAATTTAATAACTTTTGGATCACTTATTGGGGGAGAAAACTGGAAATTCCAACAGGATAATGCTGTCATTCATATATAAAAGTCAACTAAACATTGGTTTGCTAAAAAAAATTAATATAATTGATTGGCCATCACGGAGTCCTGATATGAATCTGATAGAGAATGTTTGGAGCATTACGAGTTGTCTTGTTTATGGCCAAAACAGACAATACAATACTGTAAATGAACTGAAATTAGCTATCATGGATTGTTGGGAAAATATTAAACAAGAACTTCAAAAACTAGTAAAATGTATGCATGATAGAGTATTTGAACTAATAAAATCAAATGGTGAACCTACAAAATATTGAAACATCACAAATCATTATTTTTGTGCACATGTGTTCATACTTTTGAAACAATTAAAACTTGAAAATCTATGATAATTTTTTTTAATTGTCAGATTGCTCTAAAAATTTCAGAAAATGTTTAAATTGATGTTGTAAGCAATATATTAATATAATACATTACTATTATTAATGTTTCTGTTATTGAAAAAGTTGTGTACAGTAATACCTCGACTTACGCAAACCCGGAGTTACGCGATTTTCAAATCTCGTCGATTCGTCTTTTGTTTGAGCATCACGCAACTCTTGATTACTCACTCCCCCCACAATATTGTTCAGCTTACATGTTCAGACGTGTCGCGCAGAATTGACACATAGCTACAATTTATTTTGTGATATTTATTTCTGTGTTTGTTATATCTATGGAGACTTGAGAGACTATGTGGCAATTTCTTGTAACTGTGAATGAATCAAAAGACGAGATAAGATTAACGAGAACATTTATTAGCTTACATACATCTGACTTGGATTTTACACAAATTGCGAAATTATACCCCAACTTACGTGAATTTGACTTACCGGTTATTACTCGGTCCCACCTATCACATAAGTTCGGGGTATTACTGTATGTTTATAATTTTGAAATGGACTGGTCAAATGTAAAAAACATTTATAATTTTCATAATACAAATTTCATATTTCCATCATAAAATCTTTTAATTATCAATATGGGTTGTTAGCACAGTGCTGTATGAGGTAACAAGTGATTGTTTTTGTTTCTAATTTATTATGGCTTAGCAAAAATGAGCATATGCAGATACTCAACAAGAAACACAAGATAATGAAATGTACTTTCTGCCAATAGTCATATCAAATGAGAAAATGACATGACATTAAAGTCACTGATTTTGATCAAATTCGATGAGGATATAGAGCATCCCAAAGACTGACATGTGCTAAGCAGTAAGGCACAACACTCAAAATTAAAGGAGAAAATTGAAGTTGAAAATTGCAAATCACTTAAATTCTTTAGAATTTCCCTCATTTGTAGAGTGGCAAGTGGCTTGGTGGGGGTGTGCCAGTTTCATAATTGTGAGGTTGGTGTTTTGAATCTCAGTGGTATCAATATAATTGTTTTTATACAAAACTATAATTTTTAATTCTTGGTTTTTTAAATTTATTATATTGTCAGAGAGAAAAACTGTTTTATTTTTAGAAAATTTAAACAGGGTAATAAAACAATAAAGTCCAGATGTTTCAAGTAACAAGTTGATGTCAAAAGCAATTAACAAATGCTACCTAACAATATTTAACAACAAAATATTTTCTGTATATTCATGTACTGTACAGTATGTACTTACTCTGGCAACAAATTCCATTGTTTAAACTAAATGCATCTTCTTTCACTAAAGAATGAAAAGATGGCTTCAATATCTCATGCTAACATCAATAGCATAGAAATGTGTTCTGCAGAAGAATCAATGCATGACAATATTACAAAATTTACATATTGTGAAAGCATCCTTCAAAATCAAGACCTAATTGCAGCTGAGGGTTCTTGATTGTTTAAAAATTGTTTTGTTGAATACTAAAAAAATTTCAGTTATGTGCAAAATAAGAGTACCTCTTTTCTTCTGAACACAAAATTTCAATACCTTCTCATGTTCGGTATATGAACTGTATGAAAACAATATCTAACTTTAATTAATTAACATATGACAAAATAGTTTAGAAGTTTATCTTTTATAATATATTTAATCTGAATTATAAAATATATTAGTAAATAAACTAATTTTTAAATAGCAGAAAGGTAAAATTACTGGAAAATAAATAACCAAAATCTTATTAATATATAACAGCTATTTTGTAATAAATTTTTAAATTCATTTAACACAGAATAATTTAAAAATTTGAATAACAAAAAAGTTTTATATATTTCATATGTAATAATACAGCCATCACTATTCACAAAAGACACACATACACATTTGTTATGAGCATACACATTTACTATAGTTGTGATTGATAAAACAAAACAAATATCTTGTCACATTAAAAGTATTTTTGCATGCCGCCATACAAAACATGCACCATAAATATCAATAATGTAAATAAATTCTTGAAATCAGACCTGTCAATGTTTCATTAATAGGTTCAATTTCAATCATGGTATTTTATTAATTAATTATAACTTATTATTTATTCAGGTCCTGGTAAGCTAGTAACATACAGTATTTACAACTCAAAATGAGTAATGTTACTTTTCAAAGCTGTAATTTCTAAAATACAGAGCGTGTTTAATTTTTATCCGCTTACTACAGTATAAAATTAGAATTAAACTTCATTGCATTCGCTATTTGAAATGAATCGTTACCTGCAATCCAGCTCTTGCAGATCTAGAAACTGCTTTCGCTTTCGATTTTCCCGAATCTTTTCCAGCTTTGCCTCCTGCCTATTATAAATAAACACAGGAAATGACTATAATCACTTTTTTAATTTCTAAGCGCCTATATTTGAAGCGTATCCTACCATTTTTTACTTCAACGAAACGACTATAAACGCAATCCAAACGAATCCCCGCCAAAAAAACGAACGTTACCTCCTCATCCAACTATTTCGTGCAAATTATAAAATTCAATCACGTGGCTTGTTATGTCCAATGAACAGCGTAGAGGAACAATTTTAACCAATAAACTTTTTTCCCGAATGTATCACGTGATATTTAATGAAATCGACGTCTAGCTTGCAGCATGTGCAAGCGGGTGAAATGTGTTCTCACATTTATCATGTAAACGCTTAAATATATCTATTAATTCGTGTTATAACTACTGTTTTAATATCAAAGCTGCATTCGAATAAATTAATTTAAAAATTCTGGTTTAGTTTAGTATTTGTTTCTGTTATTCGAACCTTTTCGATGTTATTGTGAATAAAGTATAGTAAAATTTATTTAAAGAATTTCATGATATGTATTCTTTATAAAAATATTTAAAACTGTAATTTTGGAATCAGTTTTTAAATTACAAAGTGCTCCAAAACTTCATAGTCTCACACAGAGTCGTATTTCGACCATAGAGTAAATATTACCTAAGCCTGTTCGTTTCGTTTTGAAAGTGTACGCTTTGATGTTAACTTGACGTCACAATAAGGCCACAGATTAATTATCCAGATAAGGTCATTTCCCATACTCACATGTTTTGTATTGGGTAAAATAATAACGCATCCAGCCGTAAGATGGCAGTACGATCGTTTACATTTCGATCATTAAATAATCCAAATGAGAAATAATTAATTAATTTAAAATAATAAATAACAAATGATTTTGCCACTTGCATAAAAATAAGACGAGACGTGCTCGATGGTAGCAATAACATCAAAAGCCGAACACTTGTGAAGTTTATCGAACTCAAAACTGCCCGAATGAACACGCACACAAGAGTCTAGCTCTCGAATAAGCATTAGTTCTAAATTATGCCGCTATGGCAAATAGCGCCAACTTGGATTCTACATCATAGTGTAATTTTGCCTAAGGTTCAGTAAAGGAGGATTAACTTAAAAAATAAATAAATATGTAGTTCATTATTGTAGTATTCATTCCTCTTGCCATATATATCAGGTGTACTGGTATTGTTGTAATGTCAAAGAAGTGTTTCCCCCCTCTAAGACTATTACAGTACTACAGTATAAACTTTTTAACTTAAGAGGGTTTGAAAGTAAATGAAGCCGAAATGCATTTTGATAATTTATAAATAAAATAATAATTTGACAAGTTTGTCATATTAAATGTATGTAAATTAACTTTTATAGCATTTAGTATCGGCCCTGTAAATAAAAGGCAATTTTTATTATTTGTCCTATTGATTCTATTTTAATAAATAAATGCTAATTGTTGTTGATTTGTTGAAAATACCGTATTTTCGCTGAATGACCGGCATGCCGGTCTATCCGGGGAGACCATGAAATCAAATACAGTATTTCTATATGGTAAAAATGGGCATGCCGAATTATCTCGGGGGAATGCCAGCATGACAGTTTAAGTGAGGTTCTAGATCCTCTCTAGAGGGCAATTAAAAAATCAAATGAGTTTTTATTCTAAAACTGTGAAACTGTCAGCATTACATCAAAACCTACGATTATACGTTTAATTTCTTCATTTTGTCTTCTTTCTAACTAGATAAAATACTCTTGAAATTCCGAAAGCACTTTTTTGTGTATTTTATTGTTATTTGATTTAAAACACGCAAAAATAAACATATTAAATTTAAGAAACTCGCTGTAAATTATTTCAGCTTACACCGATAAACATCTGCTCTCTGTGAAATTTGGTAGGAAGGTGTAATTTTTAAGATCACGGTAGATGGTCAGTGTATCCCACACTAACTTCTACTACTACTAATGTCAATAAGTCGTTAATTGTTTTATTGTCTTGTAAACAAAAACTCTCTTCCCGATTTTAACCCTGCAGTGAATGGCGTTGAAAAATCTCGAGGATTGATGCCCTGGGTCTGACAGACCCATGCGAGTAAACGTTACAGTACGTATTTTTCCACAATGGTTTTTAAATTATAAAAAATATCAATTATACTTACAGAAGGTGTTTTAATACATGTAAAAGCCTTTTCTTTTAATAATCTCAACTTTTTCCTAAGATATATTAAAAAAAAACCATTGTATTGTAAAACAGCATTAATATAGATATTTTTGTTGAAATTGAGTACCCAATTAAGGTATTTAATGAAAATGTATACAAAGATGGAGTTTTCCGAAATTTCCCCCAAAAATAATGAGGGAAAGAGTTACGGATTATTATAATTTCGGATTTTACTGTACTACTTTTAATGCGGTATTTAACGGGAAATCGAACATATTTCTAAACTTATCGTTTAAGTCTCTAATTCAGGGGCGTCCAACCTTTTTGTTCCTCTGGGCCACATTGGAAGGAGTCATGGCGTTTTGGGCCATAAGTATATATATTTGCGACCTAATCCTTAAATATACAAGTATATTTAAGGATTAACATGTCTAGATTATAGTAATAAGTATTAAAACTTTATTACGAAAAAGGATATTTTAAAAAATTACTTCTACAGACATTTTCGATTTTTACTTAGAAATAGATAAATTCATTTATTATAAAGGAGACAAACAAAAATTTTTTTGAAAAACACAAATATTTGTTTTATTTCGATCTCTAATTAATAAAAAAACGACGAAACACTATTTTAGAGTGCATTTTTATTCGACTAATATACGTATTTATAAATAATATGCAGCCCAGTAAGTAATCAATGCGCCAAATGATAATTTTTACGCCAAACTAAAAAAGTGTAGCCAAATCTTGCAATGCTGGAAGGAATACTAAATAATGCTGGAATTGGAACTCAAAGGATTATAGAAAAGAAGAGAAAGGCCAAAAGATAAAAAGTAGTAAGGAAGGTTGGAATATAAGGGTCAATATTTGCATAACAGAACGTCTATTTAACCTTTCTCACTACTTTTTATCTTTTGGCTTTCTCTTCTTTTCTCAAATTTGGGTCTATAATCCTGAGTCACAACTCCAGCTTTATATAGTATTCCTTCGCCATTCACACATTTCCAAGTATTTGAAAATATTTCCTTTTCACTCAAAAATAAAATTTGTATAAAAGTTTACGGCTTTGTGAAACTTCTTTTTTGAGTTTATGCCGTTGAAATAAAAAAATAAATAAAATAAACAATTTGTCGGTTTTGTTTGCACGTTTTTTGGGCCGCATTGGAACTTGCCTTGGGCCGCGGGTTGGACACCCCTGCTCTAATTCGTTTCAAAATAGAGTAAAACTAATTCTTGCATTTAGTATAAATGAGAAAGTTCAGCTATAATCTAATAATCTTAATTTCGCTATCGTTATTTTTTATTTGAGCAACACCAGGCTCATCTGCTACTTTTAATTAATATAAAAGCCATCATCTCTTTACCTGTATGTAAGTAAAATTTCTAAAAGTCCTACTTTTATCCACTCCAGGTGGAATTTTGTTTTGTTGCTTTTTATGACACAACAGATAGTACAAACAACTTTATTTGAAAAATATTAGCAACTACAAGTATACCTCGAGTTACGTCGTTTTCGATTATATGTCGTTTGTCAAAAAAGTACTGTATATGGAAAAATAAAAATCAAGTTTAAGTCATTTTATTCGACTTTACGTCCATCCGCCCAGAAATATTCAAGTCGAAATATCACTAGAAAAGCGTTAAAAGCACATAAAATCAGGCCGGATGGCCGAGCGGTCAAGGTGGCAGCTCACCGCTCTGGGGGACCCGGGATCGAATCCGGATAGGTCAAGAAATCCACAGGAATTTTTCGGGGGCGGACCGTTCGGATATATGGGGGCCCCGTCCCTCACCACACAGCCACCCCATTGTGGGCCTGGCCGAACCCATAATGGGCCTGCTATAAGAGGCCCTCTTAGTGCCCAGAGGACGGAAAGAGTATAAAAAAGTACATAAAATCATATTAAAATATGTACAGTACATTTACATTAAATGCTAATATAATCATCATAAAGAACGAAACATAAAAACATCGGTATTTCTGTGATGTCGTCTTATTTAGCGGTCTTTAAGTTTAAGTTCTCATTATTGGCGTTTTTAACAGTAGTTCCAATATCTACCGTTTCGCGTCGTTGTCAGCACCACTCCGTATTGGTAAATTTAACATTAATCTTTTCTACTATCGTAAAATAATTTTAATAACTGTATTTGTTATTTAACCTTAAAAATCGTTTTATTTTATAACGTCTTAGAGAAACCACATTCACAAATAAAGAGTCCGCAATGTCCTGTAAACATCACCAAAATGTAAACATGTACCTGTACTTTACATGTATTCGTAAATTTAGATTACATTTTTTTCTCTATACTACATGAAAAACTAAAATTTATTTGTTTGTGAGCTTAAAATAGATTCTTATTAACCATATATTATTAAAAATATATTTATAAATGAAATACAGAACTGAGAATAGTTATTTGTGGTTTAGCCTAGTGACAAATAAATTCGACTTAAGTCGTCTCTCCTGGAATCAATTACCGACGTAAGATGAAGTATACCTGTTTTCTTAAATTTTTTCAAACCTCTGCCCTTCACAATTTTTAATTTCTACTTTTTCATAAATAAAAATTATTTCATCATGCTTAACAAAAAAATTTTTAGTTAATCGGGCATTATCAATAATGACCAAAAAGGGCGGGCAGTGTAATAAATATTGATTAATTTATCAAATTGACCAGTAATTATAAATACTGCTATCATCTAGTTGGGCAAAGTGATAATACAGTAGAGCATCGATTATTCGACTCAATTGGGGACTCGGGTTGGTCGGATAACTGAAAAAATCGGATAACCGAAAATAATGAAAAAAATACATTATTAGTATAGTATATTAGTTAGTATATTAGTATATCGCTATTAATTAGTTAAATGTAATTAGTATATTAGTTTATCGTTAACCTACTTCGCGGTGAATTTTCATCGATGTTAAGCCTAACAAATTTTTTTTTAAAAATAATAATCGTCGCTATTGTATCGTTAAAAATTATTTTTAAATTATTTTATTGCTCACAAAACAAACAACCACTCATATTTAGAAAATTAAATCTCGTTTAAGTACTGGTCTCCCTTTCATGGACGAGCCAGTGTTGCCAGCTAAAACACGCAAAAATTTAACAAAAATTATATTAAAGTAGCCAAGACATAGCCAAATATTGTAACGCCACATCACTAGCGGACATTTGAAATTTGCCGACTAGAACGGTCGGTTAACCGAGGTGACGGTTAATCGGGGGTCGGATAATCGATGCTCTACTGTANATGCGACGGACCGGCTGATGGCCATTCCAACAGATGCGTTTCAGCAGTGTTTCCAGCAATGGCAGGAAGGCTGGGAGAAGTGTATACACTACCAAGGAGACTACTTTGAAGGGGATTAGGGTTTTGTACCTCAAAATCAATAAATGTATTTTTGCCGACCAAAGGTCCGATACTTTTTGAACAGACCTCGTAAATATTTATTTTTTGAGAATTATATTTCAAAGTATTTAAAAAAACATGTAATCTTTTAAAACTAAGTATTATTAACTATATCAATTAATTGGTAAAATTTTACCTATGTGCACTATCATGGCGGCAGTCGCAACTGTTTGTGCTCCCGACAGAATCCTCCCAGAGGGAAGCCGCCGGCAGGCCGCCGATTGTTTAACGTCACTAGTTATTGATACACACTACTTATTGATACATGTGTTCAAAAACTACCGTGAATCAATTACTGGCAACGTTAAACAATCGGCAGCCTGCCGGCAGCTCCCCTCCAGGA